GAACTGCGTAATCTGATGCCTGATGGGTATCAATTGACCTACCGGGCAACGTGGAAGAGCATTATACCTCTCCATGCCGGTACGTCGATTGGGATCCATTACCATTCGATCAAGGACTTGGGTGAGTTCTCTATTCACCCATTCAAAGTCCTTTTCCTTGAGACCTACGGGATCATGCCCGGGCAGCTGGCCCCTAATGGTCACCGTTTGTTAGGCAGCTTTATCAACGTCTGCCGGTTTCTTCGTATTCCTCTTTCTCTTCGCCTCTTTGATTATATGTTCGATGTTCGGCCCGGGTCCAAGGAAACCCTTGGATTCGTGGTGGTGTCTTCCCACCAAGGTCGAGCATTCCTTTGTGGTCTTCCACCCTCCAACAAGAAGTGGAAAGACAAATATGTCTGCGTCAAATTCCCCCCGGGTGCCTTTCCTTTTGCCCAAAATGTCTGGGGGAAAAGAATGAAGCGCCAGGTCAAACCAGCGGAGGCCGATGACCTGGTTGCTTGGGAAGCCACTCTCCGGGCCGGGGATGCCTCCACCCGCGGTCTGTACCATGTTGGGAAGTGGAGCGTCTACCCCAGTCGGGAGACCGACCCTGAACCGGAGATTGTTCTGCCCGGGGTGATCCCCGAAGCCATCCCCATCCGTCAGGCGAGGGGATCCAAAGCCCCGGCCACTACCAATGCCGGTCCTTCATGCCCGGCGAAGAAGAAGAAGGAGGAAGGTCAATCAACCGCCCTTCTCAATTTTCATTTGAATTAATTTGTTCTCAACTGCATTCTTCTAACCGGCTCCTTTTTTTTGTTTCAGTGGTGAAGTTTCAATCCAAGTTTGTCGTCCCCCAAATCGTGGTTGAGGAGCCCTCCTCCGCTCAGCCACTCACTCCTCCATCCAGCCAACCACTCTTGATGGATGATCTGCCGGCCCAGTCTCACCAAGGGACCAGCCAGCCGATTCACTCGGGGGAGATCTACTTTAACGTAGACACCTTCGAGTTCGACAATCTGATGGGTGAGACTGGGCATACGTCCCAGGCGGGGGTGGGAGACCGGCCCAATGAGGAAAGGGACGCCAAGGAGGAGACTTCTGGGGGGTCCCTTCAACGGAAGAAGCGGAAGACTGAGGAAGTCAACCAGCCTTCCCATCAGGGGGCCCAGCCCTCCGACGCCGGCAAGGGGCCGATAGTGCCTCGTTCTCTGGCTCTAATGTCCAGGTCAAACGAGGAGCTCTTCCGAGCATTCCGTGCTGATCTGAATGAGGTAGCCCCTTTTCCTCTCCCACCGCCTACTTACCGTTTTTATACTTTTCTGAGTAATTTTCGATGTCTTTGAAGCAGGTCGGCCGGATCGGGGAGGAGTACTTCGCCCGGCGGGTGAAGTCGATGGATGAGGAGAAGGCCCGGATGGAGGCCATGATGGTCGAATGCCGGAAGGAAGCCCAGGCTGCCCGGGCCAAGGCAGAGAAGATAGAGGCCAAATGGACAGAGCACTGTGCGGTTTACCGCCAGCTCTATGCCAAGCACGACGGTCTCCTCAAGGCTGCGAAAGAGGCCGATGAGCAGGCCCAGGCCAAGATCAATCAGCTGGAGGCTGAAAATGCCCGGTCAGCCGAGGAAATCGCTCGGCTGGAAGATGAGCTGCAGAAAGAGCAATTGGAGCGTGCCGCCCTTGCTGCTGCCTGGGCCACTCAAACGCCTGAGGAGTTTGCTGCTAAGGCGTTGCCTGACCGGGAGACCGCCATCCGCTTCTTCCAAGGCTTGTACAAGTACGAGGTTTCGGCCGGGATCGTCGACGAAATCGGAACGTACGGCTTTGAAAGCGGCCAGTACTCAGAGCGGAAGGCCCTCTATGGAATCCTTTAGCAGAGGATCCAAAGTTTTCAGCCAAAGGCTCTTTCTCTGCCCGAGCTGCACTGCGAGGCGCCTGAACCTCCCTTCCCGGGCATCTGACCCGTCCGGCCCTCCTTCCTCATCTGATTTTCTCTTTTCACCGTTTTTTTATATGATGTAATGGTCTGCCTCCGGGCACTTTTGTATTTCATTGACTTATTAATGAAAATATGCTTTATGTTATCATTTCTCATCATTTCTCTTCATCTTGGCTTCTTTAACCGTTTAGATTGATAAATAACAGCCCGGCTTTATTTACCCGGCTTAGAATACAATTTTACCCAAGTCTTTTCGAAAGACTGGATAGTCAGCCGGGAAGACTTTAAGGCTGACATGTTTCCACAATGGCTCAACGCCCCGTGTGGATAAGCAAACCTTGAGTTTTCCTTCAAAACGTCCGGCTTAACTGGCCGGGATGCTCTCCCACTAGTAAAGCCAAATCGTTTTTAACTCCCGTGTCAGTACGGATGAGGTGTTAAATCGGTCAGACCGGTCTTCCTTTTTTTTTTTTGAGATGTCCAACTCGATTGGACGTCTAACCGGGTAGATTGGTACGCGACGAATTACCGGTTAATATATGGGGACAATCTTTCCGAAAAGAGCGAACTTTTATTAATGGTCAGGAACCAGTTACACTTTATCTATAAAATTTTTGTAAGTGATGAGAGTTCCAGTGTCGCTCGACCCGGCCACCTTCCATAGTCTCCAACTGGTAAGTGCCCGGTCTGACAATTGCTTTTACACGATAGGGCCCTTCCCAGTTACGCGCCAGCTTGCCCCTCTCATTAGGCTTACTAGCATCCCTCCTGCGCAAGACTTCATCATGCACCTGGAAGTATCGCGGTCCTACCCGGTTGTCATGATACCGCTTTACCGACTGCTGATAACCGGCCATCTTAACAGCTGCTATGGTCCTTCGTTCTTCCACCAGATTCAACTCAGCTAGGTGGTCGAC